AAGTAGCTGGGCACGGTGGCACACGCCTGTAGTCCCAGCTACTCGGGAGGTTGAGGCAGGAGAATTGCTTGAACCCAGGAGGCGGAGGTTGCGGTGAGCCAAGATCGCGCCATTGCACTCCAACCTGGGTAAGAAGAGCGAAACTCCGTCTCAAAAAAAAAAGAGAAAAAATTCAAATTAATAAAATCAGAAATGAAAGTAAGAGCTGGGCACGGTGGCTCACACCTGGACACCCAGCAGCTTCGGAGGCTGAGGCAGGCAGATCACTTGAGCCCAGGAGTTTCATACCGGCCTGGGTAACAGTAAGATTAGCCAGGGGTGCCAGGCATGGTGGCTTACACCTGTAATCCCAGCACTTCGGGAGGCCAAGGTGGGCAGATCAGGTGAGGTTAGGAGTCCGACACCAGCCTGGGCAACATGGTGAAACCCCATCTCTACTAAAAATACATAAATTAGCCGGGTGTGGTGGCATGCACCTGTAATCCCAGCTACTCGGGAGGCTGAAGCAGGAGAATCGCTTGAACTCAGGAGGCGGAGTTTGCAATGAGCTGAGATAGCATCACTGCACTACAGCTTGAGTGACACAGCGAGACTCTGTCCTAAAAATCAAAAAAAAATAGCTGAGTGTGGTGGCATGTGCCTGCAGTCACAGCCACACAGGAGGCTGATGCGGGAGGATTGAGATTGAGCCCAGGAGATTGAGGCTGCCGTGAGCTGTGATCATGCCACTGCACTCCAACCTGGGCAAAAGAGTAAGTAAGACCCTGTCTCAAAAAAAGAAAAAAAAAAAACAAAAAGTGAGGGTTGGTTCCACACAGGAAGGCTAACCCCACAACAGACACGACGGGCCCTGAGGATGGCGTTGCAAACAGGTGCCCTCGGCACTGGCCGCAGCTAGAGCTTGCTTGTGAGCACTTTTCTGGGGCAGTCACTGGCTGTGCTTCTAGCACAGACTGAAGTCTAAGAATGGCCACCACAGAACATTTAAGACAAAGGAAAAGGACAAGCACTTAAATGAAAAAGCTGTAGAACAAGACTTCATTTTTCTGAATGTATTCATTTACTTTTTTTTTTTTTTTTTTTGAGACAGTCTCACTCTGCCGCCAGGCTGGAGTGCAGTAGCCGATGTCAGCTCACTGCAACCTCCACCTCCTGGGTTCAAGTGATTCTCCTGTCTCAGCTTCCTGAATAGCTGGGATTACAGGCACCCACCACTACTTCCAGCTAATTTTTGGTTTTAGTCGAGACGGGGTTTCACCATCTTGGCCAGGCTGGTCTTGAGCTCCTGACCTCATGATCTACCCGCCTCGGCCTCCTAAAGTGCTGGGATTACAGGCATGAGCCACCACGTTCGGCCTTCATTTACTTCTTAAGTGTCCAGTAAGAGGGCTGGATAAACTGCAGCTGGTGCCAGAATCAGCAAGTCCTGGCCCCATCCCAGAGAGACACCGCAGTCCAGGGAGGAGAGCGGCGCACATCCCAATCTCGCGACGCGCTTGGCAGGCAGGTGCTCCTCGTGAGCAGTGGGAAGGCTCGGAAGACACCTGATGTTTCTCCAGGACGGACGTGGAAGTGTGAGGGAGGGACATTTTCTATTGCTTCACCAATGGCAATATACATCTTATTGCTCTACAGTTTTTTAAAAGGACATTAATAAATTACACCTTTTAGAACCAAAATGGGATGACTCTAGCTGTCATCACTGGTGGCCCTCGGAGTTGGCCTTCCCCGCCACTCCCCACTCCCTGCGAGGCTTGTTCTCCCCAGGCCAGAGCCGGTCAGTGGCTGGTGGAGGGCAGGCCGGCCCTACACTGCTGTGACTGGGAGGGAGCACTTCTCACCTGGCAGAGGGAAAACGTGACAGACACAACCCCAATCAAGACGTTCAGCACATCCTTCACCAGCTCGCACTCCTTCACCAGCACGGGCTGTGGGGCCTGCAGAACGCCCCCGGCAAGCAGCTGTAGCTCCCCATGGCGAAGCCTGCAGAACTTGTCGAAAGCCTCCCTTCCCGCCTCTGTCAGGTAAGGCTCCTCTCTGTGACCAGGCGGGCTGAGAGGGGGCAGAAGAGGGGGCAGAAGAGAGGCCATGAGCAGACGTGCGACCTGCACCTCAGCACCAGGGTGCTTTCTCTCAGAAATGGACATGAACAGAAGAACGAAAGTTATTCAAAACAATAAACTCTAAGAAACACAACCAGGTATGAATGCCACTAACCACCCAGCCTTTTGTGGATAATGCTTCTGTGAGTACAAGCACCATCTATTCTATCAGGACAACTGGTGTGGAAGTGTGTCCAGGGTACCCGCCTAGGGTCCTGGGCATGGCCGGGGGTATCCGACTGGCCCAGCCCTGGAAAATCACCCCAGGCCATGCCAGTTGCCCTCAGGATGGTGACTCACTCATAATGTATTCTGTCAGAAACAAAACCAGATTTGTACACCCATGTCCACAGGAGCATCCACACCCCCGTCCATGGCAACATCCATGCCACTGTGCATGGCAGCATCCACGCTCATGTCCATGGCAGCATCATCCACAACAGCCAGAGGGAGAGGAGCCTGAGCACCCAACGGAGGAGGAGGATAAATACAGGCAGTCTGTGCAGACCCTGGCCCATCATTCAGCCTTAAAAAGGAAGGCAGTTCAGACACACGCTCCACAGGGACTGCGCTCAGGGACGCCACGAGGAGTGAAATGAGCCATCACAAAACAGTGTGCAACTCCACTTACATGAGGGCCCTACAGTGGACAAAATCCTAGAGACAGAAAGTGGAATGAATGGGGAGCTGTTTAAAGGGTTCAGAGTTATCTGCAGATTTACTGTGTGGTAGTGAAAATACACAGCATTACAGAGCTGAACAATTGGTTAAGACAGTAAAAACATTATATAAATTTTACTAACCCACTCAGAAAAACCACAAGATGGATACAGAAAAAAGTTCACGAATTTTTAAAACAGGTGAGGTGGGCTGGTACAGGCAGCTCTGGGCACACGCAACTCTGAGGAATTTGCCTTCCACTGGTGCTATGAGGCTGTAAATCTCGCACTCACACCCTGCAAACACTTGCACACCCTGCGCACACTCACTCCCTGCACACACTAGCACACCCTGCACTCTGCACTCATGCACCCTACCCTGCACACTCATCCAGCACACACGCTCCCTGCACACACTCATGCACCCTGTACTCCCGGCAC